TTCGTCCGGTCCTGGCATCCAAGCTGTCCATAAAAACCAAGCTCCGGATATACAAGACGTATATCCGGACTATTACCACCTACGTTGCTCCGGCCTGGTACGCGCTTCTGAGCGACACCCAGAGGCGGCGACTACAGGCTCAGCAGAACCTGTCATTAAGGACGATTGTCGGAGCAGGTCGTTACGTCCGGAATGACGTTATAGCGGCCAATCTGAAAGTCGAGACCATCACCGACTTCGTGGCCCGGTTAGCGCGCGGCATGTTTGACCGTACCGATAACGGGCCACATGAACACCTGAACGGCTTTGCGCCGTTACACACCCGGCCACCGGACGGGCGACCTCTTCCAAGAGAACTCCTCTCTATATGTGATTAGAGAGTCGAGTAACAACCCACAATGCCGCAGAAAGGCCAACTTAGACTTATAGATTACCTCTACAGATTACCTCCCTTTCCGTAGTCGGTGAACTACGGAAAGAAATTTCTTATCCGGCTACATTATAAATGTAGTTATAGCCATGCCAAGATAGGCAAAAAGTGACTGCCCCATAGTTATGGGGTATGAGGATATCCGGGCAATGGGGTATACCCCGAGGCCCGATACCTGCACGTACCTAGGTGCGTGTAGATGACATCAACTTAACTTAACTTGCAAATCGTTCGGGAAAAGTGCAAGACCAGCAGTCAATAAGAATAAGAAAGAAAAAGTATAGGGAAGTGATAGGGAAAAGTAGTTACTCTCTCACGGAACGGTTTGAAGATAATTGCTGTTTTATTCCCAAGGAATTCTCCCCTTAAAGTGATACAGTCCATATCGAAGAATTAAGGCGTTGGGACCGGGACGACTTCGGAAGACCCGTACCTAATCCCCGCCTGAACCTATTTTCTGAAAAGGAAGAGGTTATCGCCCTTGTGTGTTACTCCGTTGCGAAGATCACATACGCTGTTCCCGAACCCAACGTAGACGTTGTAGGAGGCCGGATCGAGAGAAGCCTCGTTTCCCCCCTTCTGTTTCTTAGTTTAACGTTTGTCTGGTTCCTTTTCAGTGCTCTTCAATCCAGGTAAGACACATCATTGTATTTGTTTAGCGGAAGGTTGCGAAGAAATTTATATTTTTATTTTTTATTATAATGGATTTCCGCAAAGTAACGCCTGATTCTATCAATTAAAGTATAGGAATCATTAGGGCTTAGCTCGGGGCTGTACGGCGGATGGTCTAATAATTCTATGTTTTCTTGCTCTGAAAACTCTTTTGTTCTGTGTGCGGTGTGAGAACTCGCATTGTCGTGATGGAGGATGATGCGGCGGTTGCAGTTCTCTTTACGGAGTTCAGAAACGACCTGTGGCAAACAAATGCTAGCATATTATTCTGCATTAGCCGTTCTTTGTTCCTCAAGAGGAATAGTCGTAACATGGCCGTTTTTGGAGACAAACGTGGCCACCATTTTTTTGCAACACTCCGTGAACGAACAATTTTTGTTGGCTTTAATTCATTTTCGAACATCCAAACTCGTGACTGGTTTTTTGTTTCGGGTTCGTACGCATATATCCAGGATTCGTCACCTGATACGATGTTGTATACAGCATTTGAGGATCCTGCGTGGAATCTTTCGAGAGTTCTGACACACCAAGTAACGCGAGCCACTTTTTGCTCTTCAAAGAGCGAATGCGGTATCCATCGGGAATACAACTTTTTACACCTAATTGTTCATGCAAGATTATTTGTATTTGACTCATGACAATGTCTAAAGTTGCCTGAATTTCGCGGTAGGTCACATGTCGATCTTCCTCAATCAGCTTACGCACAGCATCAACGTTTTCTTGGGTGACTGCAGTTTTTGGACGACCTTGACGGGGATCATCTCTGAGCTTGACACGTCCACGTTGAAATTCAGCAAACCAGCGATAAATTGTGGTTTTGAATGGGGCTTCATTAACAAATGCAGAAATCATCCGGTCAACACACTTTTTTGTGTTAAACCACTTCGAAAGTCATAATAAATCATCGCTCTTGAATTTTCTCGAGTCAATTCCATTTTCTCAACGACTAAACAAGTTTGACAAAACCCTGTGACGAGACCGAAAATCTTTTTTTAAATAAATAAATGGTATTCGATTTTTAAAACCAAGGAGTTTTCAATTAAAAAGATTTTAATATGACAGGAACAGTGGAAATATTCCATTCCCGATACTTTTAGTGCAGCCTAGTATATATATATATATATATATATATATATATATATATATATATATATATATATATATATATATATATATATATATATATATATATATATACAACACGTAACATAATTAACACACTTTGAGAAAGTAGTTTGTTCAGAATCGTTTACTGAATCGATTCCTATCATTTTTAATACAGGTAAATTTTTATCCCAAAAATAATTAAAACTACGTAAATTACAGTCACACTAAATCTGTACAGTCAAAACAAACTGAAATGGACCGCAACTTAAGGCAATAAAGTGCAGTTTTATTTGTGTTATTATAATTTTATTATATTACAATAATAAATAAATTATATTATATTATTATAATTATACTAATTCTGTCATTCAATAAAAATAAAGAAAAATTACTTTATTTCAAGCATGTTAAAGTCTTTGCGTTCGTGGATTTGTACTGTGACCACAATATTCTTCCGGAATTAGAATAACTAATTTGATAAATAACCAGTGCATAAAAATGTTTAACTAAAAACTGCATGTAATATGATTATAACATAATATACTAATTGGGGTGTCTGAGGGTGTGCGTTAATTACGTTACATATTGTATATATATATATTTTTAAAGGCGACAGAGTAAAATTGAAACAGGAGATGGTCACCAGCATTTTCCTGATAACAATTCAAAATAATAAAAGCTACAATTACCTGCCAAGCATGGCAACTATTGCAAACTCCCCACTTTGAGGTAATTTACGGGCAGGCCCATAGGCCTCCTATAAAATATATCCTATAAAATAGGCCTCCTATAAAGCCTATAAAAGTCCACTGCTGAACATATTCAGCAGTGAACATTTATAGGCTGTAATGGATGATAGATGGAAATAGATCATCATTAAAATTCTACTGCTGAAAATGGACATCCTTTTAATGATTTGAGTTAATCATTAAACTTGGCAGACGGACCAGTAACCCAGTACCAGACATCTTGCACTTTTAACGTTGCTCGTCGCCGGCCTGTGTATCCGACTTATTAGGAGCTGTAAGATCGTTCTAGTATTTTTCAATAATCTCCTTTCTTTAATAATCTCCTCTTACCACTCTTACGGAATGAAATGGGGTAACTTAGTTTGTCACTTATTTTTTAAATGAGACTAAGAATGTTACCATAGAGTTGTTGAGCACTATATTTTTTTAAAAGAAAGTGAACAAACGAACATGCGGCTTAACTGGTGGTAAGTGTCGACCGGCGCACATGAGAAACTGCAACACCAGTTCCAGGTGCGTAGCTGGTTTTTTAAAAAGGATTGAGCTCGTTTTTGGAAGGTTCCTGAGTCGTTCCTGAGAGTGAGTAAAAAAAGCCGTGATGAAGAAAACTCCCAGTAAATCGCAAAATGGTGTCGTTTGTTTTTTCAGATAAAATTATTACGGATAATTCCTCAAAGCACTCCCCATGGTAAATATAAAAGAACCAACTTTCTTTTTAACAGGCCGGCAACGCATCTGCAATTCCCCTGGTGTTGCAGTTGTTCAATGGAAGCTGTAATCACTTACCATTATATGAGCCGTATGCTCGTTTTCCACCTCTACTATAAAAAAAAGCAAAAGATAATGCAATTCTCTTACATCGCCACCTCGCGGTTAACATACAAACACATATACCATCTAGTTCGTATCGTACAATTATTATCACAATATTTTAAAGATTCAATTATACAAAAAACACGTATATGCGTAGACTGATGAAGTGTTCTTGGTTATTTTATTTTTTTTGATCATTCAAATCCGCCACAAATTTTCCCACCATATTTCTTTCCTTCAGTCATGGACTTTTACGGTGTTACTTTTGCCAGGATCAAGTAATAAGTGATTATCCATTAAAATCTTTTCTTTAGAATATTTCTTCACAATACTCAGATACGTCACATTGCGAACCTCTTCGATCTATTTAAATAAATATTAGGGGATAGAAGATGACGGGAGTAGGTTCAACTCATCTAATTCTGTGACAAAACAGAATGTGGAAAAAAACAGGTTAAACGTTATAAATTTTATTTTTATTTTTAATAGGAACATTAATCAGTCTTCTATTTATCATATGAGCAAGTGTAATCTTAACACATATGAATTAACTCAGCGTAAAATGAGCTTAATCAAACCGCGATGACTTGTCTAATTCTGCGAGAAACACCATAATTCGGTGATAGTACTTCTCTAATTCTGTTATAACCGAATTAAGTGAGTATTTATTATTTTTTTACACAAAAATAACAAAAAATAAAATTAATAAAAAATATAAACATATTGAAAGTAATAATTATGTATTTATTAATCAACGAGAAACTATCAAAAGTGGGGAAAAATAAAAAACAATATTGGACTTTATAATTGTTTTTTACTCTTCACCACTGGACTCGTCAATACTACAACCATCACACATAAACATTTCTTGGTTGTCATTTATAATTTGACTTTGGCAATGGGTATGATAAGAATTAGTACAGAACGAGCATGTTATCCAGTCGGCTCCATTTTGTAACTGAACATCTTGTGAGTATAGCCCATTGCACGTACTACAAATCCAATCATCATTCGAGATGGAATATTTTGATCCCTTTGATGATTGAGAAGATTGTTTGACATTTTCGTTTGTTAAATGGTCTTCGTGATTTTGGTTTATTAATCTGCTGAAGGGATAACTGCCGCCGTATATCTTCTTTTTTGACATGTCTTACAGATACGGTTGCAGATGATGTTGTGGCAACCGGTGTTAAACACTGAGCTTTGGTAACGGTTCTCTTTTTTTGTGTTTAGGTATTTGGTTTCCACTTTGGTAATATTAATATATCATGTATAGTTATTTTATGTTTGTTTAGAGATCTTGATACGTCGTCGGTGGTTAAAATGTTTTGTTCAGTATTGGTAATTGGTTCTAACTCGCATTCCATTTGTAAAACAAGGGGCTCATCATTTTGTGTTTGAGATTTTTCAAAAAGACTAGTACTTAAGATCGAAGGTTCGTTATTTCCAAAAAAAAGACTAGTACTTAAGATCGAAGGTTCATTCTTTTCAAAAAGACTAGTACTTAAGATCGAAGGTTCGTTATTTTCTTTGACTCCTCCGTCACACAGAGGGTCATTATATATTCCAGAGTGAGGAATTTCATCATCGTAGTCAATACCGATAGTTATTTCTTCCATTGACTCTTGTCCAGTAATTACAGGTTGATCGGATAACTTGGCAGGTGCAATAGCGTCTGGGCATACAGCATTTTTATTAAATGGATAGATTCCAGCTTTACTAAATCCTGCTCGAATATTGGTTGGTGTGAAACATTTTTCATAGACCGGTGTTAGAAATTTGAGGTAATCATATCTTGTAAGTACTAAGCTAGGATGTTCCTTTTATTTTATAATTTTGTAACTCTGCTCTCCATGCCGCTTTAAGTGGCCGAAACACTCCCACATCCAGAGGTTGTAAAATATGGCTGGTGTGAGCAGGCATTGTAAACTATATTATCTGGTGGGATTTAGCATACTCAAGCACTTTTGGAATTGCATGTTAATCCATAATTAAAAATACGGGTCTTGCAGGAGGAATATTTTGATCGAAAAACTTAAGCCATTAAAAGAATAAATCTGCATTTATCCAGCCCTTTGGTGACAGTCGGGTTAAACTGTTTGGCAGAGAACCATTCGATAGTTCCGAAATATTTCTTACTCCATTGAAAATCACTAAAGGAGGAATAAAATTCCCAGCTGCATTAACACGGTGCACGGTGGTTGTAGTGCCTTTTTCAGCATACGTTCTATTGTAAACGTAACTTTGTTGACATACGTAAGACCTGTTTCGTCACAATTCCATATCCTCTCTGGACAATTCATCAAGTTATGTGCAACTAATGTTGCTTCTAATTTTTCATAAAAGTCAGCTATTATTGCAGGATTTGACAGGTCAATGAAAGGTTTTCGGGAGTTCTTAAACTTAACCCATAACGTTCTTTGAAGCCTACCCAGCAATTCCATCCTGCACATTTTTGTTTGTGTTGAAGTTATGCTTGAATTTGGCTGTCTCAGCAAGCGAAAAAGCGATTTGCCGGATTTGGTTGACAGAAAGACCAAATCCAAGTTCTTGCATTTGTATAATGTATGACAATAAACTTTGTTCTAAATTTGCTGACAAGGAAAATGGTCTACCAACCTTGAGCATTTTAATGTGTGTTATGCCCTGCTTGCGTTCTTCTATTACCCTATCAACATTGACCTTCAAAGTACTCCACGTCATTTTATATTCTTTTGATGCCCTGTACCGACTCATTTTTGACTGCACAACACTTTCAATTGCGGATGTCAGGGTTGTTTCATTATATTTTAAATTTTTATTTTTGCCTCCCTCCATGCCGTCTAAAATAAAAAAATAACTCACTTAATTATGTGATAAAAAATAACGGACTTTTTAAAAATGCTTGAAAGCGATCCTACTTTATTACCTGAGTAAAAATAAATATTTTCTGACTTAAACTACTAACGTTAACGTAACAATTATTAATACACGAATTGAAAATAATAAAAGTTTGCTTGGTTAATTCGGTGACACTGTTTTGAGTTGCAATCTTGAGAATCGTTAACTTTTTGAACCCAGGAAATAAGGTATTATGCAAAAACAAATGAAAACTTACTAAAACCTTTATCGGTATCAACAAGTATATATTTTAACAACTAATTGTTAAAGTATCATGAACTTACACTCACCTTTTCTATTTAAAATGAATTAAATAATGACAGCACAGTCGCACGCTACCGGTGAAACGTCAAACATGGCGGGCGCGATGACAAATCCCGTGATTGTTACTATCTCACTCGCACGATCTTAACAATAATTTGTACACGAAAAGAAGTTTTATTACCATACCATAGGGTTCATTTTATTGTCTTGGATTTTACTCCTAAAACGCTGTGAAAAAGTCCAAAAGTTGTATCTCCGAACTAAGTGAGTCACACAATTAGGTGAGTTTACCCTACCTATCTGAAGTGCCTAAGCGAACAACAGCTTGCAGTTTATTTCAATATTGGAACACTTATCTTGTCGTATTTTAATACACAAAATCGCATCGCTTTTATCTATCAAAATCTACTTCAAATCATTATTTAAACAATAAAACAGGCGCAACAATCCGCCAGTTCCCGCCAAAACTCGCTTAACCTTACCTTCAACCTTTTTCTCTTGCGCTTCTCCATGCAGCCGGTGAATATGTTCATTTACAAATAAAACAATTCCAAATCACAAATAAAGAAATTGAATAATGCGCAGGTGTGAAAGAAAGCGGTGTGAAAGAAACAAAAAATATATAATCACATACGCTAAACAAGGATAGTTGCTTTAAACGTTTGGCCTATGATTCTGTACAAGATTGTAGTTCTTTGTTTTGTGGAGAAAGTTAGAGCGTAAAAGGTATGAAGGGACACTTAAAAGCAATATACGGTAAAATTATTGTATACACACAATGTTGCAAGTTAGGGTCTTAAATTAAAAGTGATATTTTTTTTTTAAATTTAATTAAGACAAATCACTTATTCACGCTTATTGCTAGTAGTTCATACTTTTAGATGTTACATCTGGTATAACGTACTAAGGCTTTAAGTGCAAAATTGCTGTGTACATAATATGTAATTGGTTTCTTGGGAACGACTCTACGGATTTGGACGAAATTTTGTATTCAGTTAATGTTTTACTTTACTAGTTTATTTAGATAGGTTTCATCAACGGAAGAAGGAAAGGAGTTTCATACCTGAGACAATTATGGTCTGTTTTTCTAACGGAGAACAGAATCGGTCGCCCAAGCACTGAGACGAAATATATCTAGGAAAAATAGTTACCGGATTAATGGATACAGTCCAACGGATTAGTAGCCACCTGAAGTGGATATTAAATATCACCCATACCACGGGATGATTGGTTGTCCACCACTGTGCGATTTACCGGGAGTTTTCTTCCTCGTACAACTTCTTTGTGGCTACCACCAGCGATTTTTTCAGAGCAATACGACTTTGGAATCTTAAAGAAAAGAGCCTAATATTTTTTTAAGGTCGTCGACGCACCTGCCATTATCCTGGTAATGCAGTTGTCCATGGAGGGCCGTAGCTACCTACAATCAGGAGGGCTGTAATTTGTTCGTCACCTGAGGTTTTTATTGGACTACCGTATGACACCGGAATCATTTTCTAGTAGCTTTAAAAAACAACAAACAACTAGACTAGACTAGTTTAATAGAGTTTGCATAGTTATTTTGTTTACATAGTCGCAACTAAATTTAGATGTTGTCTATTACGCGCGCTAACCAGCATCGAGCTCAAGATTCACACTCGCAGCTTCAAATTTTATCTCACAGAGACCTTTATTATTAAATTATTGGACGAAACGAGCACTTTAAAAGCGTTTACGATGTCCCAAGATCGTTAAAATGTTTCTCGGATGTTTGCATTTAAGATATCTCTTTATAAAGCCTTTGAGGTGATAATCGTTTGAAATTATTTTTAAAATATTCATAAGATCTCTTGTATTTTTAGTAGGGACGTCCACGTTATTTTCGCCTTTAGTGCCTTTCAATTCTTGTTAGTGATATCGTAAAAAAGATTAAAGGTTTTAGGGTTATTTGTGTATTGGGTGTAATTACATCGTTTGTAGAACCTTGTTTAGATGTGGTCAAAGTAAAACCTTACTTAATTAATTTTGGCTTGTTTTTAATCTCTTGTGTCAAATGAAACCTATTGAAAGATTTAACATTTTGTTGATATATCACATAGGTATAAAAAGTGAATAAATTAAAACAATATCTGAAATAAGAATAAATGCAACTTCTCATTTATGCTAAGTGGATGAGCTTGTGTATTTAGGATGTAGTTTAGAGGGATTCTTTTTCTTTTCTTTTTTTAAAAAAAAACGTTACCCCTACACTAGGATTTTCCCCTGTATCGTGGGGGCAGTTTACAAACATAAATTACACAAGGACAAACATCCAGACCCGGAACAATTATTTGTAGGCCATACAAATACTTGTTCCGTGGATTATAACCCGCGACCCCCAGCGCAGCCACTCATTGCTAAACCACTGCGCCACGGAGTGATAGATATGACGAGGATATAGAGCGACGAGTGAAGCTGTAAGTAAAAGGGCATATTCACTCTATGGTGGGAAGTCAGAATGTGTCAAAAAAGGCACGTATGGCAGTTTACAACACTGGGTTAGTCCATACCTTGATATATACTTAGTACTTAATGTTAGGCGTGGCAGGAGGAGCACCAAAGTAGAATAAATATTGCAAAAATGCGGTCTTTACGGAGTATATAAGGGCTGAATCTGAATGACAGTGTGAGAAATTGTGTGATAAGAGAAGAGTGTGGTGTGCAAGATGATATTGTGACCATGATTAAGAAAGGAATAATTCGGTGGTTTGGTCATGGTTTGGTGGAAAGAGTGACAAAGCCAACTTAAAAAATGGCAGAGTCGGCAATGAACGTCCTAATTACTTAACGGGCCAAATCAAGAGTACCACCCTTAACCGACAGCTTCAACACATTTCATGAATATATGTGATTAATTGTTGAATACTCAAAGATGGAGGTATATGATACGAAATAATACCACCGTTTTTGCCCATTGTTTGCTCACACGTAATTTTTTCAGCAATGGAATCCGGATTCAAATAAAAAATATATAATATTTTACATAAACAAGTGGTTTTGTTAATTTTCACATTTGTACATGATAGAGTACGGTTGAAGCTAGCTCAATCGGGGAAGTACCATGGACCACGCTCTCACAGAATACCAGCGTATTATAACAGCTTAATGCTGCTGTATTTCGTGTGGTGGGTGTAGTGAACTGGAGACCCTTTCTATTGTAACGAAGCATTCTTAGGTATATGATAGTACCTAAATAAGGCGAGAGGTGAGTCAGGATCATGCCAAATGAAAGTCCGTAGTATCTTCCTACTCCTCTGGGCGACAGGTGTGTGTTTGTGATTGTTGTATGTATGTAGCGTGTTAGGTTTGAGTCATCTAATAATGCGTTTGTCTAACCTATAGATAACAAAGAGAAACTTGTTTCGATGAACTGTTTATCATAATATGTGCTCTTATTCAAAAAATAAACTCTTTTGGTAGCTATTGACAAACTTGATATTCTCAACGAAACGAGTGCGCTTAGAACCACTCAACTAAAGTAAAACTTCTTTGGCTCCATCTATATATATTAAAAAGAATTTACAATTTAATTTACATTAAATGTAATGTGTGAATATTTAATTTATTGAACAAAATATTAATTCATAAAATTGTTCAAAACGAAATAAAATTACAAAAAATAACTGGCTATGAGAGAAAGAGAGAAAGAAAATGTGCGCGCGCACTGCTCTCTCTTGCTTATATCCCCCACTCAACTTCCGTTCGCCTAGCTCGATCCCACTTTTCGTAACGCTTTCGTCACGCGTTCGCCAGTTTACTCCCCAAGTCAAGCGTGCGTGGAGAAGTTTTGCTTCAAAAAGATATGATAGTATAAAACACAATAATTTAAACGCTATATACCTACATATTACATAAGTAGGTTTAGCAAATATATTTTTATATGCATAAGAATTGACTATAATAACCTTTTCGCACTTCGCACAATCAATTACACGATAAAATTTAAACCGACTGTTGCCGAACACCTAACATAAAAAAAATCGAAATGCGCTCATTTGAGATTCAATATATGCAACGATATCGCGAACAGCACTAAATAACGGGCAGCAATCGTTTAATCAGCACGAACAAAGCGAAGGTTCGCATAACACAAAAATTAATTTTCACAAACAACCTAACAGAGTAAAAAAAGGCGCGAAAAAGAGTAAAATGGCGCGCTAATAAACTGAAGCTTGCGCCGTAAAAGTCCACTGGTCCCATCTTTACGACTGCGCGCAATATTTATTTATTCCGATATAATTTGGACGGAGCCGTGTTTATATTTCGTGTATTGATTCACGCGCTTGTGAGATTGGCGAAAGATTTCACGTACGGTTGAGTAATACTTTTAATTTAAAAATATTTTGAGACAATTGTACAGATATAAAAATATCTTACCGCCTTGTACGAAGAAAATTCTAATTCAATCGCTAATTCTTCCTATGTTTGATTATGCTGATGTGTGTTACTTAGATGCAGACAAATACTTGGTCAATAAATTGGATCGGCTTCTCAAGAACTGTATCCGTTTCATTTACGGTCTTCGAAAGTATGACCACGTCTCTTCCTATCGCTCTCAACTTAAATGGTTAAAT